CAGCAGTGGCATCAATGACAAATGTTATAAAAAATGCGAGTTTTGACAGCTCTCTCTCGAATCAAAGAGTTTCGTATCATATTATCCATGTTAACACGACGGGAGCAGTGGCACAACTGAGATATGTCGCTCTCACGTATAAAAAAAGTTGAAACAGATAAAATGAAATAACGGCATATTCTCTTCTCAAGCGGAGCATTTAAGAGGTATTCATATGAAAATCACGTTTTTTGATTTATGCCGGTCTTGCAGCAAATGAGCGATATGTACTTACCATTTTAGTTCCTCATTTGCTTGTGCTACAATTTTTTTGTTTTGCTATTGCCTCATATTGTATGTACATACCTACATATTTCAATATGTAACGATGCTTCGTTAAAATTCGTTTTTTTTTTGCATTTTTTACTGAGAATGTAGGTAACGGTAAATAATATTGTATTTGCACTTTTTATCGAGTATCGGGTCGCTTGTTTTACATGCTGTAGTTATTATTGATGCAACGCTTGACAAGAATAGATTGAGCTTAGTTAAAAAAACAGAGATCATTGCAAAAATTGACAAAGGTGTAAGTGGTAAACGGTTGGTATTTGATTATGGTGTTTGTGAAGCAACAATAACAAAAATTAAGAAGAAGAGATTTGAAATTTTAGGAGCAGTTTCAAATTCATATGGTGATTTACACAGGAAAACACTGCATAAGACAGAATTTATTGAGCTGGAACAAAAAATTAATGATTGGTTTTTGATGCAAAGACAACGCAATTGTAATGTTAATGGCGCAATGTTAAAATCAATTGCTAAGACGGAGTTTGCAAGACTTTACCCACAAAAACAGTTCTCTGCAAGTGATGGATGGCTGACAAACTTTAAGAAACGATATGGGATTCGCAATCTTAAAATTTGTGGTGAAATACTTTCGAGTGACACAACAGAAATAACTCCTTTTATTTACAAGTTACGGGCCACAATGGATGAAATAGGAATAACCGAGGCACAGTTATACAATGCGGATGAGTCTGGTCTCTTTTACCGTATGCTTCCAGATCGCACATTCGTAGAAGCAATTGAAAAGACTGCACCAGGCCGAAAAATACTAAAAGAAAGGATAACATTTATGCTGTGTGCGAATGCCGATGGATCCCACAAATTGAAACCCTTGGTGATTGGTAAATCTGCAAATCCACGTTGTTTTTCCGGATTCAACCATCCATTGGAATACGTAAATTCTAAAAAAGCATGGATGGACTCCCAACTGCTTTCTGAATGGTTTCATGATTCGTTTACTAAACAGGTAAATATGTAGTTATTATAAATTTTAATTTGCTTTGTTAATTTTCTAAAATACTATATGTTAACAATATTGCAGGTTCGTACTTTTTGCTCTGAAAATAATTTACCACTTAAGGCATTGTTGCTAGTTGACAATTATACAGCTCATAACCCCATTTGAACGGCTAAAGTCTGCTGACGGTAACATTGTAACAATGCTTCTACCACCGAATGTGACAGCGGTAATACAGCCAATGGATCAAATTCGATAAGGCTAGTTACATTGGGCTGCAGAAGCAAACTTTTATGCAACATAATTGATCAGGGACATTTGAAAATTGCATTAGCATTAAAGCGACATTCCATTCATGATGCAATAATGTTGCTAAAGTCGGCTTGGGACGAATTGCCACAAACCGTCTTCATCAACGCTTGGAACAAAATAAGAAAGTGGGATGATAATGAGTACGATGAGGAAGATTATATTCCATTGGCTAAACTTATTGAAACGAATGACGAATACGCTCAATTACTCCAGGAAGTGTAATTATTGTTGGAGAGGGTGGGTAATAACAGTGTAATTGATAGTGAGGACACTGAAAACTGGAATGACGACAAAGAAACTGCTGATGAAATAGAAATTTTTTCAGACACTTCAGATGGAGAAGAAATCAGCCAGGAACCCAAAGTGACATATGCGGAAGCAAATCAAAGCGTAAACAACTTGATCCACTGGTTTAAAAATGAAAACGATGCAAATCAGGTGTCAGACTTTTTGAATAGTTGTACAAAAATGGTCAGAAAATATATTGCAAAAGAAAAAAAAACAAAAGAATATTCAGGATTTTTTCTCTTCATAGTAAATACATATGTATGTACATATGTAAATGTAAATATGTTTTTCATGTAAATCCATATGTTTTATTGAAGCAAATAAATGAATGAATTTTTGAAGTTTAAAAATGCATTTAATATTATAAAAACAGATAATTTATGTATATATTTAGAAAAGTAAATTATTCGAAAAAGTAAATAACCCAAAATACCAATCGATTTACTTTTCGAGAGTATACTGTATTTGCATATGTAAGTATATGTATATATTTATGGTTCTTTTTTTTATTATGTGCAAATGAGAGCTTTATTATATTTTACACAATCCTGCTTGTTCTTGTTGATCAAAAACCAAGGGGTAGTGCGAGGTATATGCCAATGCGGACTTTGGAGTAATATGCGTATTTACATACATATGTATGTGACGATACACGATTGTACAAATTTTTGATTGTATTATAAAATTTTCCGCCGCTTAAAAGCGTACTGATGCTGCGATCAGTAATAAAATTTTTGCCGATTTAATTTAAAATTGTTATTTTGTTTAAATTGTAACCGGGATATATTCTTCACCAGATGTGTTTCCGAGTATGTATGTATGTATTAATAATGCACATGTGCGTTCGATCTGTGTGAATTCGTTCGCCCATACACGACACACAAATTTATTTACATAAATCAACAAAACATTAGTGTACAACAAAACAAAAAAAAACAAAAC